CTATGTTATGTGTCACGACGTATGCACTGTATGCTGCACATATAGCCATAGAAACAAGGGACTTCCACAAAACCAAGTGTGTTGTGGAGTATGAACTTATGTTATGGCATACTTCTACAAAATGACCATATGCCATAGCATATGGAACAAAAATGATGTTGTGCATTTAGGATGTTGAAGCAAAAAATAGGGTTATTTATGTTTATTTTTGCACTTGTAGAGAGGGAGACATGATTTCAAGTGGTCTAAGAGTTCAAATTCTACTAGGATTTGGGTTCTTGAATGAGACTTAGCAAAGGATTGAAGGTTTAAAAGATTCAAGTGGTTTCTTTGTTTTTCTATTTCTCTTCCCTTTTCTCTCTTGTTTCTATTATGGGCTTTAAATATTTTGATGTTTTTAGCTTGTTTCTGAACATGAGTAGCTAATTATTTTATTGTAGAATTATTTAAACCTTTGTATGGATTAACACCTTTGTATAGATTAAGACTTAGTTATTTGATGTATGGTGTGTGTGGTGTGTGGTGTTTTATCCCTTGCTGATCACCATTTAAATTGTTTTCTTCACTTGAGTTGTGCTTGAGAAGGCTAATTTATGTATAAAATTTGAATAAAATATTATTGGACTTGAAATTTATGAAGATATACACAGATAGCTTTACTGAAATATATATATACTACATATATATCTATATATATATATTACTAATCATTCATAGTCAAATTTAGATTGGAGCTTCAAGCTTGTTTTCATTAATTATTTTCAAGAGATTGAGAATTTTTAGTGTTTGCATAAATACTTGATTTCGACTTGAGAATTATTTTCAAGTAAATTAAAATCTTAGACTAACATTTATTTCATTAAAAAATTATTTTGAAAGGAATAATTTAAGTTTATTAAATACAAAGGGTAGAGAGAGATGATCTTAGGCCCTTATCTCTTGAAGTCAAAGTTTTAACAATTTTATTTTTAATCTAATTTTCATTGCTTTTAAACAAATTTTATACTTGATTTTGCCAAACCTAATTCAAAGTTAAATAGTGAATTTTTACTTTCTTTTACTCAAATCTCATAGGAATAATATCTTCGAAAAAACTTTCTACTTGTGATCAAGGATGAATCCAGAAATCATTGTGTGAGGAGGCCATAAATGAAATTTTATCAAAAAGTGAGGGAATCAAAATTAATTTTATCATTTTTTATAAATAAAATTTTAAACCTATTTGTAAATGAAATTTTATAGCATAGAGGACTACAAATCCCTACTGGCCCCCTTAATCGTCATTGCTTGTGATAATCCTTGTACTTTTTATAGCACTTGACAACAAACAAGATCGATTAAAATAGGAATTGGTAAAAAAAAAAATTATTTTACACCTGCTAGTGGACAAATCGATATAGAAAAAGGAAAAATTTCAGTAAGAGATCCTTAACTAAATATAATAAAAAAGAGGACCCTTAAATTTTTGAAATTTTACTGAAGATAGAATGACAAAAATTGCCCTCATTTAATGAAACAATATAAATGATTTGTTCGTTTCCATACTTTATGTTATTCATTTACTTATGTAATTTTATTCATTTTTTACTCCACTTATTTATAGCCCTAATTTCACTTGATTTCATTTTAAGTATTGGTTTTTATGATGAAATGACTTGTTCGTTCACATAGTGTATATTATTTATTTTATGAAATATTATTCATTTATTTATTTCATTTGTTTAGGCTTCTGAAATGAAATAAAGTGAAAGTAGGACTGTAAGTAAGTGAAGTAGGAAAACAAACAATATTTCGTAAGTAAATGAACAACATAAAATATAAAAATGATCGTTTATATTGTTATTTAAATGAAGACAATTTTATCATTTCTATCATAAATTTTAAAAAAAAATTCATACAAGATCCTTCAATAAAATTTTAAAAATTTAGGAATAATTTTTTTTATTATATTTGATCCATGGTACCTCATTGAAATTTCCCTTAGAAAAAGCTTGCAAAATATTATAAAAAATAACACTCAAAACACTTCACTCCCCTCTGCTTATGCGTGTTCCCTCTTCTCCCTTCAACTCGTAGCCACGCCACTTACTCACGCTCGCTGTTGTTAGAGCCGGTAATTTGTGGCTAAGCCTGACGAACCAGCCTGAACCCGCTTGAAAAATTTAGGCCCGAACTCGAAAAAAATAATTTTTTTTATTATTCGAGCCCATTCGGGCAGCCCGAATAGGCCCGAGAAAATTCGGGCCAAGCCCGAACACGATCGGGCTTGGCCCGAATACTCAAATAGGAAAAAACATAATTTTTTAAAAAAATATAATATATAAATATTAATTATTTTTCAAGTTTTATATCATTTTATTTTAAAATACCATAATTTGAAGTGTATTACTATAGTTATTTTAAAAAAATAAAAATATTTATATTTTTCCATTTTTATTATTTTTAATCAAATAAAATATCTCAAAATAATAATTAAAATATATTTTAATATTAATTTTTATATTTTAAAGACTCAATTTTTTAAAAAATTGAGTCATATAAACCATTTTCTTGTCCAAAAAATTATATTTTATATTTTTTATAAAATAAGATAATTAATTTTAAATTAAAAATAATTTTAAAAAATAAAATTTGGACATGTATGAATTTTCGGCTCTACGACTAAACAAACATAATAATAAAATAATATTTTTAGATAATTATTGATTATTATCCACGCCAGACTTAGTTAAAAATTAAGAATGAATTAAAGTAAATACTTTTGTATATAGAACTTAAACACATAAAAAAAAATTAAAAAAAATTCAAAAAAATAGTATTTTTACCCATAATAAATAATTTTATTTTATATAATATAATGATGACTATTTTTTTCATATTCTTAAAAATAAAAAATACAGTTTATCCAATAATTATAAAAACTTTAAATTAATCAGGACAATAATTTTAAATTAATGGTTTAACCGTAGTTGAATTGAGATTAACTTAATCATAATAAAATAATATGATTTAATAAAATATATAAATATTTTTATATAACTATGATAAGAGCAATATTTAAATAAATATGACATTAATTTATAAGTAAAGGAAACATTCATGAATAAATTGCACATAATACAACAAAATAGTAACACTACTTAAATACGTAACTACAAAAGTTAATAAGTTATTATTTTTTATTTATTTCAAATTAAAATAATATGTTATGCTTAATAAAATTATTTAAAAATTAAAATTGATTAAAAATAAAAAAATATTTTTAAAAAGTTTCGGGTATTCGGGCCAGTCCGAATAAGCCCGAAGCCCGAAGAAGATGTTAGGACCGAATTTAATTATATGAGTTTTTAAAAGAGCAGGATTCTTTAAGCCAGACTTCGACTGGCCTAGCTGTTGTCCGTCGTCTCCTTCGCGCCACCATCATCATCGTGCACTTCCCCGTCTCCATTCTTCAAGTGGCCCTTGTCTTCACCTTCTCGGTCTCGTGTTATTGGCCAACTTTAAACCCTAACTTTCTCCATTCTCGTTTTGCTTGCCAGAGTCTATCAGTTCATTCTTTAGTGGTGGTATTAGCTTTGCTCTGTCCTTGGAGTGCGATCATGTTGATCGGGGTGGCAGTTCCATTCTTGTCGCTTCGTTTCAGCAATTGTTCTCATGGTGAGATTGAGAACAATTAGATTAGGGATTTTGCGATGAACATTGTGCCTTCAGTGTGGCTCGTTGCTGTCATCCGTTACATGATTTTTTTTTTTATTATTCGCACCCAAATTTTTGTTAGCATATTATATCGCATTTTAGTTAATTTGGCAAAACTTCCTCAACTTCCTCTTACTGTGTCTCTCGCTTGTGATTGCTTCCTTCCTTCCTCACCTGGTCTGCTTATTCCGCTAATTCCCCCTCTGCTGCCTCTCTATTTTGTACAATGTTTTGATTCACTCATTCTGGAATTTCTCTAACATGGTTTTGCCTGATTTTACTTTCAATGGTTGTTTTTTCCTCATTTCTACAAGTAATTTTCCGTAGTAGACCCCATTATTTGCTTGCTTTTTTTTTTTGTTTTTTTCCTGGGAAATGTGTCTACTACTTTCGTTCTTTGTCCCACAATTTTATTTTTAGATTGAAAATGGTGCTGAAAAAGAAATTTTCTTGCCTTTTTCTATGGATTTCTCTATTGGCAGAAACGAAAATGTTGATAGAGTATGGTGGTTAAAATTTTGCAACTGTTGAAAGTATAATCACCACTGGTAATTTATCCTGGTCACACTTGTCTTAAGTTTACCTATGCTTTTGTTCACGAGTGGGATCTTTCTGATAGCGGTCAAACTTGGTTTGGCAGTATTTAAGTTTGTGAAGCCCCCAAAGAACAATGAGAAGCCGATTGATCAAAAGAGCAAGGTTAAGTTGAAAATTACGAGTTTAAAAGTGAAAGGAGAAATGGAGTATGTACCAGAACTGGAAATGCATCTTTGTTGTTAGTTTCTTTTAGTGGCTTTTGGCATGTGTCTTTATAATTCCTTCTTGTTTATGTGAGATAAATTGAACTTCTTGTTTTGAAGTTGCATGGAATTTTCATGGTCATTTATAGTATCATTGATTGAATCAGATTTTTTAATTGGAATGAGTTGCTCATAAATTTATTGGCCTCCTTCCAGGGATTTAGGTCAAAACTTTGGAAAATTCACTGAAATAAATAAACATAAAGAAAATGACATCCATTCTTTGACTTCCTTAGAATTTCTAAATTCATATTGTATTTCAAATATTAATCTGAAAAAAGAAAACTTGGGATGAGGTAGTCTACACTACTTGTGATTCTATATAAGTACAACAATTAAATGCAAATGTTTCAGATGCTGAAAATTTTGTTGTATGATGCCATTTGCAGTCTGAAGGGCAAAGCGATCAAGTAACAGTGGAGCAAATTCTGCGTGTTGTTTTCCTAGATCCTGAATGTCCTAGCCCTGTAGGATTATATCCCAAATATGTCATGTGACCTCTATCATTTATGTCTGCATCTATCATTTATGTCTGCAAATCTGTATTTGTGGCTCCTCTTGTCTATGCTTTCATGGGAAGCTCAAGAGATACAGCCATAGGACCAGTGGCTGTGGTATACCTTTTACTTGGTACACCCTTGACACAGTATATGACTCCCAAATACATATTCTTCTTTCTTGATCTGCCTGAATTCTGGTTAAAAAGCCACTTCAATTCTAAAGTTTGAACTTTTAGATGAAGGTTCGGAATAGTAATATCTTTGTCATGCCCACTCACACAAGCCCTTTGCACTTGAAGTGTGGAAACTTAATTTTTTTTTAGTCTAATTGTTTTTCCTTTTTGAGTGGTGAGGACATGATCATGGAAACTCTAGTACTGTTTCAAGAATCCCTTCAATTTAAACTTCTAGGCTGTTTGACATCTATAACAACTTTGAACATGTTTGGTGCTGTCAATCTATGAGAATTTTTGCAGGCTTGGTTTCTTGATTGACTTCTTACCTCACGCTGCCATTGTGGGCTTTACAGCAGGAGCTGCTGTTACTATAGCCTTGCAGCAGCTTAAAGGACTCGCCTGGTTTGATAAATTTCTCTCCTTCTCCTTTGCTTTTTAGGTTTGATAAATTATTTGGTTTTAACCACATAAAAGTTTTTTTTATGCACAAATCAGGAATGTCGTGAAGCCTGTGTGGACAAGGTTGTAAAACTGAAAATCATGTTTGATCATTTGAAGGTTGAATAAGATCTGCAGTCTACTTTTGAGGGGGACAACCATGTTATGATGCAGCAGGTACAATTACTGTTGATTATGAGATGCTATTTTTAGCATAATTTTTCATACCCTAAAAGTTATTTGTTGTGCTGGTGAAGTAATGAAGTATGGCTGTGAAGGTTTCATATACTACTTTAGTACCCAACAGAGACAAAATAATTCTTAGCCTAGCCTAATAGTTTAAAACTTAGGCTTTTTTTGGTATATTGACAGAAATGAATATATTTGATTTATTCTTAAATTATATTATCTTGTTTATACGTGATATTTTTAAAGAAAACTAATTTACTACAAAATCTATCAAAATTTATGTGATGACCAAAAAAAAAAAAAATAGAGGCATTTTTTTCGGATTGGAGGTGATTTGATTTAAAATAGGTGATTTGATAAATTTGATAAAAAAAAGGTGATTTGATTATAAATCCAAAAAAATGACCTATTTTTTTAAATGCTATTTTCTAAATTGGTTGTAACTTAGATAAGGTTTAATTTAGAAATTTTACTTTCTAAACTGGTTCTAGTTACAATCGGCTTAGAAGACTTTCTAAACTGCCCTTGTCTAAACCAGTTCCAGAATCGATTCAGAAAGCCTTTTTAAACTGCTTTACAAATATCTTTTTGTACTAGTGATTAGTGCAAATATTGAAAAGAATGTTCATTAAGTTGTTGCTAATTATATTTGTTAACTAGATAATATGGAATAAAAAAAAAAAAACATACTGAGTTTTTCCACATATGAAGTGATTGTAGCTGCATATAGATTTAGTGTGTGTTCAATTTTTAGTTTACATCTAGAAAAAGCATATTTAGGGGATTCAACTATTTGTTGGATTTAGCAAAAGTATATCCCGGATGTGATTTGAATATACTTTTGGGAATTACCCAAATAGGCCATTAGTTTTCTATCAACACACTTTATGAAAAAAGAGAACACCCATAACTTTTAAAAGAGTCTTAATTCATGAAATATGGAAGTTTATAAGATAGGATTTTTCTAAGACGATTAATAAGATTATTCATAATTTCTTACTTTCCAAGGAGCAGAATATGGTAATGATTTTTCCGAAATTATTTTTACAATGATTTAATATGATTATGGCTTTTAGAAACTTAATGGTGGACTTTTATGGAGGCCACACACTTTTATATATTTTATCTTAAGTAAGTAAGGATGAATGAGAAGAACGAATATTTCTAGCTCAAGATACAAATTATTATAGTAAGAGCATAAAAACTGGATTTTTGTATGGATGGCATATAGTTGTTTTCGTAAAGAATAAGCTGTATTGATTGGTAAAGTAAAAGGCCATCCTATTATTTTTCATTAAAGGAATACTCTATAGATTTGAAATGAGTCAAGGATCTGCTAAAAATGATGTGTCTAACATTTAATATGAATTTTCAATGTCAAATAAACCAATACCATGATTTTTAATTAACCATCAAGTATGTCCATATATAAATTTGACGGTTATTTTATAATAACCATTAAATAATTATGGTATATTTTTACTGAACCAAGAGCTGGTATTTACTAAAATTATTTGACGGTTATTATGAAATAACTGTCTAATATATGAGATACTTGATGGTTATTTCGAAATAACCGACAAGCATTGTTTTCAAGGAATCAACAAATGCCAAACCTGAAAACCTTTACTTGATGGTTATTTTCAAATAACTTTTAAGTAAGAGCCTCCCTTATTTGATGGTTAATAACCCGTTAAGTGAAAGGGCCTTTAGTATATGACATCACTTTAATTGGTGATTAAAAACTGTCAAATAAGGTAAAAATAATAGTGAACTTTGGTCTTTTTTGTAGTAGTGATGAAATAGCACAATTGTGTAAATTTAAACAAACAATATGCAAAATTAATAGAAGAATTGTTTGAGAAAATTCTCTAATTAAGACTGCGATATTTTATTGGCCATTATTTTGGCACATGGGTTGGATATGTACATAAAATGGGTGTAGTAAAAATATCAATAGAATTCCAGAGACAAGGAATGAAATAGGAAATATAGGCAATGTACATAAAATGATTTATTTTTCTTTTGCTCCCCCCCCCCCCGGACCGGGTTTTTTGGGTGGGGATCTTAGAGACTATCAGACAATATCTCTTAATCTCTTGAGAGAGCCTTCAGGATCATAGTATGGGCCATGCTTTTTTCGGTTAACATATTTCAACTTAATCATTTTCCACCATATAGTGGTGGCGTGAATGACCAATACCATGTAAAGCATATAACGAACAATAGGGGGAACACCGAAGATAGCAAATGTGCCCGTCCCACATGCTATGATCATGAGTGACAATGCTGACGAAGTTAAAAGCACGGATATCACCAGAAGCTTTTCGTACCCTTGTGACATTGTTGACAAGAAAAGTAAGAAGAGGATAGCAGAAACAGAGAAAAGGAAGGAGAGAAAGTTTGTCACAACAAAAACCTTGAAACCTTCATTATGCTTCAATACGGGAGAGCCCTGATGTTCACCCTCTTCTATGGCACCCCCAGGTAACGTAAATGCTGCTGCAAATGTTACTGTTGCAATTAATGCCGCCACTACAGATACTTCCCTTCTTATTCTATAAATTTCATTTCTCTCTCTACTATATATTTTTTCATTTTCATCATCAGTTGAATCATGTCTCGCCTCTTGTTTCTTTTTTCTTATAACATGCCGGTCCATAACTCGTCCGCTCAACCTTGCTCCAATAGTTCGCAATTTTTGTAAAACTGGGTTCTACGCATCGAATGCAACAAGTCATATCATTTCTAATTTTACCGAGACTCAATTATTAATTTCTAAGCAGCATTTTCTGATATGTTGTATAATCAATCTAATTTCCTAGATCATAACCAAGGTAACTAGTGCAAGGCCAATATAAAGATGTTAGGATACTTTATTATAAAACACTTCACGTTCAAAGATGGATTGCTGAAATTGTATATTTCTCCTGTTAGTTTAGAAATGTAAGATATTTTTAATTGAATTTTATCCTTCAATAAAGTAATTACTTATTTTCAAATAATCATATCTTTAATAAGATGTTTCACACTAAAATAAATATAAAATGATTTATTTAATAGAATCATTTAAAAAAAGACAATCACTACGTCTTAAAATCTAAAAGTGCCTTGCAATTTTGAATGGACGTAGTATTGAATAATTTTAATTCACTTGTATGTTCAATTATATTATATTGACAATAAGGCAATTAAACATGCAACATGGTTAATTATGTATATCTATTATATTAGTCTCCATTAAATAATTACTCCTCTTATTATTATTAGCTATAAATCAAATTGATAATGTATTTAGGAAAAAGGGATGCATGCATGCACGTGTATGGAATATTTAAATAATTATAGTCAATAAGTTCATATATTTCTTCTGAAAAACAAAGAAATTGTAACTAGATGTGTTTTGTTACCTTGAAATTTGAAGTTGGAGGCAAATCATCAACTGCAACATCGAGAATAGTTTGAACATGCTTATTTAATGCCAGTGTGTTCACTCTCGTGTGTTGTCTTTCCATAAGAACATGGTAATCAAATTCTTGCCACGTGGAAGCTTGACAAGCACGGTAGTGAAGGGGTTTCTTCCCGTTTTTGTCTCTCTCATTGTACATGTTACTTAATGAAGCATTTTTCAGAATCACTTTTGCATTCCGACTATAGAAAGGGACTCCTGTTTTTCTAGACGTAGTATAGTGAAGAGCACTGAAGCCCTTTTCATCGACCAATTCACAGCAATCTGGACAATATTTTATTATCTTCGTCATTACATTCTTATTTGGACCATGCTGCAAGTGAAGAGCAGTCCTTCACTTGTCTCTCATGTATGCCATACTTCTATCATTCCTTAGCAATGCGTCTGAATTTAAATAAAGTGCTGCCAAGTGAAGTGGCACCCAGCCATTTTCATCTGCTTGTTATGTTGCTGATAAGTTTCTTGTCAACAACTTCAACAGTATTCCTGTAACCCGACAACATCAAACACCATCCATCTTATTTAGATGAATTGGCTTCTTTCTTACCTTAAAGCTCTTTGAATTTGTAGTAATAAACTATATATCATACTTTAATTTGTGTGGAAACTTTTATTTATTGATCATATATAACATATTTCTTTCAAATATTCTAAGTTAAAAGGCAAAAATATCCTAGAATTTTTTTGAGGGGTGCCAGCAGGTATCTACTCGGAACTTTAAAAAAGGATACAATATTACACAACTATTATTTATGTAAGCATTTCTTCCCTAACCATATTTTTACAATTTTATCTCCAGCATATGAGTTGTCATTTTATTTTTTTTTAAAAAATTATAATAAGCATGTCTGTTTATTACCTGTGAAATCATCTTGAAACACAAATCAAAATCTCATGATTCTAAATGATAAATTGCAAATTTATAATTCAAGAGAATACCTTTGTTACTGTGAAGTACTGCAGCATGTAAAGCTGTTCTATCACTGGGGCCATCATAATTTGGTGAATTACTGTAGTTCAATATTGTATTTATCACATCACAGTAGCCCCTTTCAGCAGCAATGTAAAGTGGAGTTTCACCATCATTATTATTAAAATACGGATAATTTGGGTCTTCTTTTATCAGGAGCTCAACAACTTTTGTTTGATGATGTCATACTGCTTCATGTAAGGCTGTGTCCTTATCATTTATAGCTCTTATCAGTCCTCTCTCAGCTCCAACATCATTATTGTCATCTTTAGGGAGAACTTTTGCATGTTTAATGATATTTTTCACTACTTCACAATGTCCATACCTTGCAGCTATATGAAGTATGGTTTCATCCTTGATATTGGCCTTTGCGAGAAGTGCTGGACACGTGCCTAACATGTCTTCCACAAATGTTTGCGATACATTGTCAGTGTAATTTGTGAAGTGTATGTGAAGGATTGTATTTTCATTTGGGGTTAGTATGGACCCAATTTGCTCACCATCCTTTCCCTTAAAAGCATCAATGTTACCTTTCACTGAAGCATTGTAAAACTCAAGTTCCATGCCTTTGATGACTTCGTTGTCTTTTAACTTGCTAGAGCTAGCTTTAATATCAGTTATTATCGCCATCCAAAACCTTTTGCAGCCAATAGCAATTATTAAGTCCATCGGAACCACTTATTTCACCATTTTGGTTATGGCAGACAATATTATATGTGATTAAGATCTATATTTTCATGTCTTAAAAGGGCATTTTTGCCTCTTAATTATTTGCACAAAAGCATATGGCATTATAAGTTTTCTTTTGATGCAATATTTCCTTTCAACTTTTAAAAATTGTGTAATATTACCTCTGTTATAAAGAAATGTTAACTTTGACAATTAATTAATAAAAAATACAAAAAACAACTTTTATGTGTGTGTGAAAATTAATACTGATTAAGTTTTCTTAAATTGCAATAAATGTTATTTTGTATCTATGTAAAAAATTAAAATATCATTTTAATCAACCACTTTGACTTACTACTGGGTAATTATTAGATAACTTTACTAGCAACAACACCAAATTTAATGAACTTGATCAATATTACTCTTCATATAGTTGGGGTTCTTTTCCATAATTTTCTAAGTCATTTTTTGTATTTCTCTAGTCAACTAACCATTAAAATTAACATTTTTTAATGGTAAAGATAATATTACACTATTTTTAAAAGCTGGAGTTAATATTACATTAAAAGAAAGTTTAAGTTAATATTACATTAAAAGAAAGTTTAAGTTATTAAATGCTCTTGCTTGAATAGCTGAGAGGTAAAATTACCTGTCAACTTTAAATTCTATTTTCAAAAGCATTAAGATAGTTATAATAATATAATCAGTTATAAAAGATTGGACAAATGACCCATCACATCCACCCACTATATATTATCCTTCCACACCATATATAGGGATCAGAATTCAAAGACGAAATTTGGCTTCTTCCTATACTATATATATATATATTTTTATTTTTTTTTTTTTGAGTTGGCAAATGTCGAAACATTTGCGGACATTGCTCGAACTAAAGGTTCTTGGCCTTCCTATACTAGCTGAATCTGAAATTATTGCTGCACAAGTAAACACTTACATTTCCCCTTCAGGCTTTGTGATAACTGCCACAGCACCAAAGCTTTTGTAACTTGAAAATAACGTCCAATTTGTTAATAATTTAATTTTAGATTTGTTTGCCCAAAAAAATGATTTAACAGAGAATATATCAAGTACAACAGCAAAGTAATTATAAGTACAAGTACAAAGAGAAATATGCATTATTTCAATGCAGCAAGACAAAAACCTACATCAACCCGAAAAAAGAAAAGCATAAAAAATTGATTTTAGCTTATTTTGTTCTCATGAACTATAAGTACCTCAAAAGGATCCGTCGACGGAGCCCTATAAATGATAAAAGGAAAACAGAACTACTCGTTGTTGCTACGGTCTTCAGATGAATTTGCGGAAATAATTTGTGCAAGGGAGATTGTTGAATAAGAAAGTAGAGTGAACTGTATTGAGGTATTGAGTTGTTGAAATGGATAGAACTAGAAACAAAGAGGGGCTTTGCCTTGGCTGGTGATGGTAAAGACAACATTAATCGTGACCGTCAAGGTTTGAGTATACAAAGGGAGAGCGAAAAGGCGAGGAAGCAAATATCAACGCACATATTGATCCTTAGAATATTTGACTTGTCAAACAAAAAGTATAAAGTGTTTGTCATTTTTCTCTAAATTAAAGAAAGATACGGAGAAGCTATATCCGTATTTGCAAGAGGTAACTCCAAAACAATTTTGACCATAAAGAATAATAAAAAATGAAATATAACACCTAATATAACACCTAACGTGTTTTTATATAACATTGAATTGTAGGGAAAGATAGTGGATGACAGCAACGCTAGTGCAGTGATGGTGTGATTTTAGGGACCTAATCATTTACAAAGCACCATCATCTCCCACTGTATATGAAATGCGGTGAGATGATAGGAAGTTCTTTCATTGTAATAATGATGAGTACAATGTAGTGGTGTGCCGTGGCAGACCTAGGATCTGGTCTGTAGAATTGTTTATTTTTTGGTGAGACAAATGATATATACTCCACCAATAGTAAAATTTAATTTGCATGTATAAAACTGATATGAACTAGATTTTCTACTTGTGCAAGAGTTAATTCAAACCTCAATCAATCTTTAAATAATAATGAAACCTCCACCACCTATACTAACATGAGTTGTTAAAAATTTTAAACATCAAATTATATATATAATGGTTAAAATTGTTTTAAAACTATATAAATGATTTTAGTAAGACTCTAGAAAAAATTTAAAATAAATAAAATAAATGATTGCACTGAAAACATAAGAATTAAACGGTTTAGATGTTTTGGCCCCAAAAAAAATTTGGATGTAAAATTTTCAATAAAAAACAATCATTGATGATGCCTAAATTATTCTAAATTTTTTATCACTACTACAGAAATAAAACACCATTAATATTTAAATCAAAGCAGAGAGGTGACAATTCTTAATTAAAATGTCACTGCTTATAAATTATTCTTTAATTTAAAATTATATTAAAACAAAAAGAGGTGACATTTATTACATGAAATGCTCTAGCATCCTGTTATTCAATAGCCACGTGGCATTTCAATAATAAAATGCCACCTCTCTAATTTGTGATTAATTAAGTATTTTGTTCTATCATATTAAATAATTATTTTATCATTAATAATTGATTAGAAATAATAATAAATAATTATTATTAATTAATATTTAAAATTAGAGAAGTGGCGGTTTCAGAGGTTAAAAACTCCACGTATCTAATCCAATAGTTAATATGAAAACATATATTATCATTTAATAATCAAAACTAGAGAGGTGGCATTAACACTACCTCCCTGATCTATTGATAAATATATAACATTTTATTGTAATTGTTTAATAAGTATTAATAATTAATATCTAATATTATTTTATAATTAAGAGTAGTGAGTTGAAATTTTTTGATCTAGAAATACCACCTTTCTACTTTTATAATTAATATTTTCTCATAATTGTTTAACAAATATTAATAACTAATATATAATATTATTTACATTGTATTATTTATGTGTTTTTTTATCATGTTAATTATTTTTAATTATGAATATTTAAATATTTAAACTAATTTATTTTATTAATTTTTTTATTTAGATTAACCCTATGGGGCTAGGCTACAAAATGAATCACACACAAGTGCAATATCACATTTGAATGGACATGATTCTGTTATGATAGGTTGGCATCCAAGAGGGGGGTGAATTGGTGACACTTAAAAACTTTTGAAAACTTAAAAGAGTGAAGAACTTTAGTATGAAAGAAGAAGATGAGATATACAAGATTTATACTAGTTCAGCTTTAAACTTGGCCTACATCTAGTCCTTAATATCACACTTGAGATTTTTAACTAAGTTCACAAGTTTAATGGGTGCTTGCCACTACAGTACAACTCTTAAGACTTGTCTTGAATCACTCAACAAACCTTGCTATAATCCAACAAGTTGTTACAAACACTTGAAAAATACCTTCTTAAGATTTATGCATAATAAAATAATCTTTCACAGAAAAACTCTCTTAAAGAGTAGATGAAATTACAATTGAAATCTTATGAACTTATGAGAGATTTTCACAATTCTTTTCAAGAATAATGAATGAATGCAATATGTAAAAGCACAATTTGAAAGATTTTCAAATGCTCAAATAAAGATTTATTCGCTCAAAGATCATTAGTTCATGTTTTGGCTCAAAATGAATCATAAATATAGTTTTGATAGTTGATAGATTGTTGGAATAGTGATTCTATCCATTGGTGCAATTTCTTGTGAGTGACAAGCAGAATCATATGTGAAATTGCACTTGGCTTGTTCTAAATATGTATATGTGATAAATCATGAGTGAACTCTATGAACTTTCACTTGTGGTTTTACACTTATAAATAAGCATTTAGTTTTGTGTGCTAAAACTCGCGAGTGAACCTTCAGCTCTCATGTATGGTTTTGTACATGAGAAACCATTGTTAGTTTTGTGTTGCAAATCACGCATGGAACCTATTTCCTCTCACGTGTGAAATGGCTAGCAGAATGCCAAAGCCAATTCTTGTGAACAAAACTTGCGTGAAACCAGAAGGCTATCACATGTGAAATAACCACATTCAGACTTAGTCTATATAGGATGACAAATCATGCTTGATGCATGAAATAGCAGGTAATAATGCACAAACTAGTTTGGGTGCAGTTTCACGCGTGGAACTGTACATGAGTCAAGCAAGATTTTGCATGATTAAGAAATATGGATTTGTGAATATCGGATCATACACTTGAACAATTTGAACTTGACTTGACATGACTTAAGACTCAACAAAGCAAAATGTAATTGTGCAACAAGTGACAAATCATATGTGGCTACGATTAGACTCACACATGAAACAACACTTTGATATAATGTAATGAAGCATAGTTGCTAAAACTTGTGTGGACAATAATGGCTCTCACGCGTGATTTTGCATACAGAAGCAAAGATTAAGGAATCACATAACACAAGTGACAAATCACATATGAATTACTTCTTAACTCTTGCGTGTTTCAGCAGTCAGTGTGTCTGACTTGCAGATTCTTGTGAGTGACTTGCAAAATCATGTGTGATTTTGCACCTCATACTACAATCAACTACTATGAATTTCAACACGCAAGAAAGATATTATTTGCAAGCTTTAATATAGTTAGATGAGTCTTAATATATATAAATGAGACACATGATGTATTCATTTCAATGATTATAAAAAGTGATTAAACTCTTAAATTTTTCACATTGAATCTAAGTGAATTTAAATAACTTATCCTAAACATCTTCAACATCTCTTGATTTTTCATGCTCTTAGGATTTTATCTTCATCTATGATTCTTTCTACCTGCACACATAACAAATATCTCTTTTGGTTTTGTACTAATCAAAACACAAGATCCAATAATCTCTTCCTTTTTGATGATGACAAAACCTTAAAATTAAGGTTTTTAGTTTTGTTTAA